ATGGGACTACTCCTTTTTGTGGGACTTTGATTACATATTACTATATTAGGGTAACCCATTAATGAAATCGAATCTTAGCGTTCGAGCCCTGTACGGTTTGTAACTAATCAGAGCATGAACGATTGATCGTATAGTAGAGGCGGAGTCTAGAATCAAATAATTACTTAAAAGAATGAAACCAACGGTTGTGGGGATGTGCTTAATTTCACCTCATAACGACGACATGTAGGTTGTAATTATATGGTGTAGACTAAATCCTCGAATCATATTGTCTGTTCATCGTAGTGGTAAGGTCAAATTAAACACGCAACATAAACTTGCTGAGTCAAATTAAGCACACATCCCCAAAACCTTTGGATTAGAGTATCGAAAAAGAAATCAAATCAGCAAGCATTTTTCTCACTTATAGAAAACCTTAAACCATTGTTGGTGATTGGGAAGTGGATGGCTCTGCTCACCTGCACATGCCCTAAGAATTAGACTAATCTTTCGGCCATGTATCATAATTAATTAGGTTGCAATCAGACCTTAAACTTGGGTCACGAACCAGATTAGTGTAGGTGGAGGGAAATGGTTGGATGAGTAGAGCTTAATTTCTACACCAGAAAAGGGAGAAATTGTTATATAAATATAGTGGAGGGTCAGACTCAGTGGACATGGACAAAATTAATCAATCAAATGGGGACCAAAATAGTTGAATCCTGCCCTGTTTTTTCATAGGTCCAAACTCTGTACACAACCATCTGATTCTTTCGCTATCTACATAGAATTGCAATGCTTATGTGACGGTGAACCAAATTAATCATGTGGCAGATGAGAGAGTATAAAACACGTGGCCGTCTTGTTATTGTACTGGACGGTGGCATTTTGGGGGTGTAATATGTGCTATACTTTCTTGTGATGTTATTAACTCACGTATTATAATATAGATGAACGATAGAGTTAATATGCCATAGAGCTAGATTATGACATGGGTCGTGCTATTCACACATCTCTTTTTATCTTTCACACACACTTCTAGATTTCCGGCCATCGAATCGAATGACTTAAAAGTATAGCACCACCCTATAAATAGAGTGAGGATCCTCTCCGAATCCTCCAATCACATTCGTTCATTGTAGATCGTGCGACCAGAAATCATTGTAAATCTTTTTATTTAAAATTAAATATAAACAGCACATGACGAAAACTGACATTACGATATACGATGAACGAATATGATTGAAGGATCCTTGGATCCTCACAAAGAGAATTTGAAAAGGATCCCCGGAACCTCACAAAGAAAATTTGGAGAGGATCCTCATTCCCATAAATAATCCCCTAATAACATGAATCGAGTGATAATAATAATATTATGCGGCAGAGCGCCAGCCACACCGAAAAAAGTCCTCTTGCATTGGAGTAAGAGAAGTATTGCATCATTTGATGAAAATCATGAATCATGATGGATGCAAATCACAATGCAGAAGACTAATCCCTACGCTCCACATCGCACCTTCATCACTTTTGCCAACAGAATCTATTTGTTTATATTTTGTAGCTTTATACATCCCTCCTAAAAATGCTCCCATATTCTTTCCATCCTCTATATAATAACTCATTTTCTTCTCCCTCCCCCTCTCCCTGATCAGCATGGAATGCTACTCGTCCGATCAGTACCCAGCCAATGACCTCTCTGACCAATCAGAGTTTCCCTACATTTCTCAGCCAAGTTTCCAGTCAGTTCCTTCACTCAACTCACAAAACAACTTTCCAACAAACACTTACCACCACTGTCTCACCACCTTGCAAGGCCACAACTCCTACATATCCTCTCTAACCCTAGCCGGAAACTTCATCTACACCGGCTTGTCCGATAGAGAAATCCGGTCGTGGAGGTGCAACCCTTTACTGGAATTCGACAACGAAAACACTACTCATCATGATCACAACATGGTGGCGGCAGGAAAGGGTGCAGTGAAGTCCCTGGCTATTTCGGGTGACAAGCTCTTCAGTGCTCATCAGGACCACAAGATTCGAGTGTGGAAAATCAACAGCCAGGAGCCCGATCTCCAAAAGTGCTCGCGGCTGGCCACACTGCCAACGCTTGGTGACCGTGCTTCGAAGCTCCTGATGCCGAAGAACCATGTCCAAATAAGAAGGCACAAGAAGTGCACTTGGGTGCATCATGTGGACACAGTGTCTGCCCTAGCCTTATCAAGCGATGAGCTGCTGCTGTACTCGGTTTCATGGGACCGTACACTCAAGGTTTGGAGCACAACAGACTTCAAATGCTTGGAGTCTGTGAGAAATGCACATGATGATGCTATAAACGCAGTAACATCGTCTAATGATGGATATGTTTACACTGGATCAGCAGACAAAAGAATTAAGGTTTGGAAAAAGGACTTCGGAGAGAAAAAGCACTTTTTAGTTGCTACACTGGAAAAGCACAATTCTGGAGTGAATGCACTAGCTCTGAGCAGTGATGGGTGTGTGTTGTATTCTGGTGCATGTGACAGGTCCATTGTGGTTTGGAAGAAGAAAGATGGGGGTGGGAATATGGAAGTTGTGGGTGTGCTTAGAGGTCATACCAAGTCAATATTGTGCTTGGCTGTGGTGGCAGACTTGGTGTGCAGTGGCTCTGCAGATAAAAGTATAAGAATTTGGAGAGGGGTTAATAAAATTTACTCATGTTTAGCAGTTTTGGAAGGGCATAAAGGTCCAGTTAAGTGTTTAACTGCTGCAATTGATGACCATTGCAGCTCATCTAACTCCTCCTGTGTTATTTACAGTGGTGGTTTGGACTGTGACATCAAAGTCTGGCAGGTCTTTGTTCCTAGTGACCTTTAGGACTCCAATTTACTTTTCTACGAGAAGAACTTCCATGCACTTGAAATTTTACAGTGACGGTATTTGAAAACAATCACGAACTTTTCACTGTTCACGTAAAAAATGTGTGATTGTATTGAGATACCGTCACCGTGACATTCTAGATTGAGTATTGTGTTAGCTAGTGATTTGGTTTAGTTAGTGAGGGGAGCAGATTATGTCTGTACTTTCTCTTCTATAGCTCTAGAGGCTATAAACTACAATATCATAAAAGAGAGCAAATAATTTATGAGCTTTCTCTCTGTGTGCTCTAATTATTGGATGGAGTTTCTTTATCACAACCTGCATGTGGGAGTCACATTCTTCTGCATCTGGCAAAAATATTAAAAAATCTAAATGTTTATGTTTGGCTTTCAGAGGGTGACAGATAGGAAACCCACCTCACAAATGAGAAATTGGAAAAAAAATATGGGAAAATCCAAATACAGTAGAGCCAATAATTGACTAATGACCAAATTTGATGTAAATCCCAACTTAAAAGGCTAAATATCAGATTAAAAATAAATTAATTAGTGAAAACTGGAAACACTTTCTTAAAAGTGGTAGATAACATATAAAAAAAATCACCTAAGAGAGAAACACTCTTCTGGTTAAAGCAGGATTGGTGTATAAAGAGAGAGAGAGAGAGAGAGAGAGAGAGAGAGAGAGAGAGAGAGAGAGAGAGAGAGAGATTAGTGAAACTCACACTCATTATCTTGTTAATCTCACCTTCCGTTGTCCACATTCTCAATATATATCTTCCTTTTGCTCTAAGTTGGGTTTAATTTAGGCAGCTAAAGCAAGATTATCTTCTAAATCTACCTTCTAGGCTTCTACAATAAGAAGCTTCTTTGACAGGAGCAGGTAGCCAAAGCAGGATCAACCCAAAGCTGATTCATTAGAATCTACCTACTTTAATATGTAATTATTAATTTCGTACAACGTTTACGTGGAAGTTTAACATACTAATGTTCTACTTTTACATATATATATATACATATATTAGTCTAATCAAATGAGATTAAAGTTCTTATTAGTTCCAAACTTGGACCATAAAAGGGGTTTAATTACAAGTGGAGGGGAAGTTAGGTAACACAGTAATTTTTATGTTCTCATGACAGAAACCACACCATTAATCTAACCTAATTCATTTTTGTCTTCTTTTTGTCTCAAATCACACTGCCTGCTAATTGCTATACTTTAAATATTGTTGTTGACCCAAGAGATGAATAATAGGTATGAGATTTACCTCCTTTTTTCTGGGACCATAACACTATCTCAAAGATAAGTACCATATTAAGGAATAGATAATAGGATTGATGATCTAATTTGGATAATTTTGTGTACAGGTGTCTGCTGTACAGGCGAAGCAAAACGGGTTACTTACGTCAAACAAGGCCTTACAAGGTAAAACCTAAGTTTAATCTTGATTACGTGCATGCTTAGCCAAGATTTCGAGCGCCCAACTTTATCTAATTTCCCTTAAGTTGTGCTACAAAAAAGTGACGTTAATGCCCAAACTTTCAGTTCAAAAAGGGGTGGATGGTGCTGGCCAAAGGTAGAGCATAACACTAAAGTACGTCTCTGGACCATTACAAATTTACAATTGACATAGACGTCCAATGTACTTGAGAGAGAGAGAGAGAGAGAGAGAGAGAGAGAGGCCCTATGAAGTACAGATTGACCTAAAAAAAGTTGGGGTGCAATGAGGTCTGCAGGATGTGAGTGGTCGGTAGAGAAACCTCGGGTACAATTCAACCAATGTGTAGGTTAGTTTACCACCAAATGAGGTGTCTACTGACTCAGCTAGCAGTAGTTTAATGGTTTAAAGGCAACAATTAGTATGGCACTGAAAAATTCATACTGAAATCTCACCTTATGAGATTATCCTAATATGTGTTCACTTCCAACTTTTCATCAGATCAGTTCTCATTCTCTAGCTCAAGTTCAATTTTTCTTTCTACTTACTATGGAGATCGGTTCCACCTCCTTTTGTTTTTCCTAGAAATTTTTCACTGAAATAGAAACCTGTGTGAGTGTTAGCTTTGTAAAAGACTCAGAATGGAACTCAGGAAAGTTCTCTTGGTTTAACCGACACGAAATTATTTGGAGAAATGCCTACACCAATCTCAGCCAGAAACAATGACAGAAACTTGCAAAATATAGCATTTCATTTCCAAAGCAGAAGGGGTTACATAAATATTTGATGAATGGGGAAGGAACGCCAATCCAACTATATATAACATTTGAAATGGGGGCATCTGAATTATTTTACAGAGGTATTTTCTCTGGAGTACCTGGATCGCGAGGATACTTCCTTGGCGTTGGACTAGTTTTCAAACACACGATGGCAGTTCTTTGTCCATACGGGCTGTGCGATTCCACTGGATACAAATAGAGGTTACATCAGTAAACATGTTTAGCTATCTCTCTTTCTCTCCCCCTCCCTCCCTTCTTTACCATATATACATGATAGGTTTGTCAAGTTTTCAAATAGAGATATGACATGCCTGTGCATTGTTGCAATACGGAAGCACCCAAAATCTGAATTGCTTTTTCTGCATTCCTAACTTCCTCCTGTTCAAATGTGCCAAATATGCAGAGTACTTAATATTTCATATCTAATAGTTTAATTGCACGATAGAACAAATGGGCAATTTGTCGTGCTTCTGAAGTTATTAAAGGCATAAAAACTCCCTAGATAGAATATGCACAACCCAAGATTGCTAAAGAGTTTATATAGCATAGTTCTATCGGTATCAATGGATCGGTACAGTTTTTGTGGCATTTTGGATACAATTTCAGAAAGAAATGGTTAATATGATAAGGCTTTTCGATTACATACCTGAGGATCGTGACCCTTTGCAGCAACAAACAAACCGCCAACGCAAACCAGAGGAAGACAGTATTCAGCTGACCACCAAAGTAACAAGAATCAAGCAACTCACACATAGCAATGAAACTCTTGAAAATACACATAAGAAATCAAGACAGGAATTTTCTTTCCTACCTAAAACTCTCATTTCTGCAACTGCTCTGGCTACCGCTACATCAAATTTTTCCCTGAAACAAAGAGCCTGCCCCAAATTCTGTCCTATAAAAAAAGTTCATATCCTTAATTTGACATCTATAGAAACCAAATTATATCTGCGAAAAACACGAAACAATACCTCTGCTCTTCCTCTTATAACTTGAACATTCGACAAACCAATGTGACCGACAACATGCTCCAAGAAAACGCATCGCTTGTTCATAGACTCCATGAGGGTCACTTCCCAACCTACCCAGTACCCACCAAAATATGAAAAAACACAAATTTCCGAAAACTTCCAAAATCCGAACTTTGAAAAGACAGTTACAGACCTGGGCAAGCAATGGCTAAGATCAACCCCGGAAGACCTGCACCGCTCCCCACATCGACAAGGCTGAGACTTTCGGACGAAACTTTACAGTGAGAGAAATATGAGTTTCTGATAGGGGGTATGATTGCGAGCGAGTCCTCAATGTGCCTCTCCATTACCTCATCCGCCTCCTTAACAGCTGTCAAATTCATTTTCTGAAAGTTAAACAAATTTCATTAATTGGTAACTTGTTTTAATTTCCCCACCATTTTCTCTGCAACCAAACAGAGGATAAGCGCAGGGAGAGAGAAAATTACCTGGTTCCATTGGAGGAGAGTGTCGACGTAGAGATGGACTTGCTCTTTTTGGCGGGAATCCAACGTCTCAAAGTAAGAGAAGCTACGAATTGCGGTGGCGCTTAGGGTTTTGCTTCTAAATCTGTACGGACAGAGCGTCGTCGGATTCGATGCCGGAAGGTGTTTGAAGAAAGTCCCCAAAGAGAATGGAACTGCGCAACGGCTAACTAACATCTTTGCCGCGCTCTCTGCCTCGGTCTCAACGAATTTTCATTTCTTATTGCGAACCAAATTGTATATGGGCTTTTATTTATTTCATAAATCATATAATTTAAGCCCGAGTAAGATTGTTGGGCTAAGAGACTGTAAAACTCTTATGGGCTTACTTTGGTTCGGCCCGACTCTGCTCAATTCATTCTACTTGTTCCCAAAGGCCGAAAGGCTAGCATGAATGGTAGAGCTAGTGCGGAATATGAGAAGATATTTTGTAGGTAAAGGATTTGCCTAATTCTCCTCATCAAATAATTTGAGTTCTTAAAATTTGATCTAACGGTTAAAACTAGGAGCCCACTTTAAAAGTTATAATAACTTTAACCGTTTGATCAAATTTCAAGAATCCGGATTGTTTGATGAGGAAGATTAGGTGGAAGGGATCCGGGTTGTCTAATTAGAGCATCTTTCTTGACAACTGCATTTGACATGACCAAAATATAAGAATAAAGTGGACTTGCAAAAGATGTTTGGTAGGGTTGTCTGATCGGAACATCTTTCATATTTAGTGGGGATTGCAAAGAGTCTGGATGAATCAGAATACAAAAATACAACAACAAAAGAAATTGGGTAAATTACACTGTACCCTCTTAGGTTTGAGATCTATTACAATCGCATACAATATATTTAAAACATTTCACTTTCATACCTCAACTACTATTTTATTTCAATATAGTACATCTGTTACATTTTTCATCCATTGATCCGTTAAAAGCTAACATGGCTGCCAAATGTGTACCACGTGGCAAGATTTTTTTTTTATTCATTTAAAATATTATAATAATTTACCCTTAAAAAAAAAGAAAAAAATAAACAAATTGAAACCCACCTCCGCGCAACCATCCACGCCTGCAAACAAACCCAGAACCTTCCCCCCCCCCCTCGACCCACCTCCCTCTCCTCCCATCACCATCGCAGCCTTTCCCCATCACCATTGCAGCCCCCAGACCACTCCTCATTCTTCACCTTCCCGACCCACCTTCTCCCTCCCAGACCCACCGCCGAAGACGACGTCGAACTGAAATCCAAATCCTTATGTCTGAACCATTTATAGAGCCCTGGTTCCAACTCATTCCCTTCCCTCAACCCTCCCCCAGCCGCCACTCAACCCCTCGCCTCCCTCTCCTTTGTTATCTCCGACATCTCTCTCTCGTTATTTTGCATTTACTTGCAATTATTATTATTATTATTATTTTGTGATTCTTTCTGATTTGGTTTATGGGTTAGTGGGTTTGTTTCAGATTTGATGTGAAGGGTTATGTGACGGGGTTTGGGAGTCTTGATTGTGACCAAACAAGCGGTGAAGATAGTGGGTCTCTAGGGAAAGAGAATGGCGGGTGGTCGGAGGAGTGTGAGGAGGAGAGGGTTGGACATGGTGGTGGTGAAGAGCATCAGAGGTGGAGGGGTTTGGGCTCGGTGAAGGTGATGAGGGTCAGGAGGGGTGGGAGAAGAGGTGTTTCTGGGTTTTTTTGGTTTTTTTTTTTTTTAATTTAAATAGTGGAGGAGAGAGTGGAGGAGGGAGAAGGTGGGTCGGGAAGGTGAAGAGGGAGGAGTGGTTCAGGGGTTGCGATGGTGATGGGGAAGGGTTGCAGTGGTGATAGGAGGAGAGAGATGTCGGTCGGGGGAGGGGGGAAGGTTTCTGGGTTTGTTTACAAGGGTGGGGGGTTGCGCGGAGGTGGGTTTCAATTTGGGTTATTTATTTATTTATTTAAAGGGTAAATTATTATAATATTTTAAATGAATAAAAAAAAAAAAATTTTTGCCACATGGCACAATTGTGGTTGCCACGTCAGCTCTTAATAGATCAATGGATGGAAAATGTAACGGATATACTATATTGAAATAAAATAGTAGGTGAGGTATGAAACTGAACTGTTTTGAAGATATTGTATGCGATTGTAATAAACCCAAAACCTGAGGGGGTACAATGTAATTTGCCCAAAGAAATTTGATCGATAGGGGTCGTCTAAATAGGGCCACTTTTATACTAAGTTAAAATTGCGTCTCATGCTGTTGTGAAAATGTATGTTATGTTATGAATGGTAGGGCACTCCTACATGAGTTTTACTGTGTGCAATGTGCATACTTTGTTGTTAGAGAGATTTTTCAATATACCCGAAGCATTGGGCTATATGCTGCATGTTATTATAGAATTGGAGAAACAGTTGAAAAAAAAAAACTTTTCTAAAATTGTATAATGATATGTGATGTACCGTTTCGTGTTTCAGTTACACAAAATTTCTCCTATTGTCAGCCTAATGTTCGGTGTGTTTATAATATTTTTGCAACAAGGGCGGTGTCAACCCACTTTCTCAATGCAATGATGATATGTAGTAGGTAAAGATTCAAGGGAATAAAATGCACTTTTTCCTGCCTCTTTCACTCTAACCTTTTTCTTTTGGTAAATAACTAACCGAATTGCCTACTACATGAACATTGTGGTGGAAATTTGGTTTTTTATGACAGATTTGTTATAAACTGCTAAGCCATAGTCATCATCTAAACTTGAATTGAAATTTACGTGAAACTGGGTGTATGTTTAAAAAGTACATGAAACTGAATATAACTCCATGTATCCGTTTCTATGCTCATGTGCGGATACACGCATAGGGTATACATCCGGTTTTATGTTTGTTTCACAATTCATCCAAACAAAATGGATCTTGTTTTGAAAAATTAAGTTAGAGAAATGCAAAGGGAACTATTTCAAAAATTGGACTCTCTATAGACTCTCTGTCATCTCATATTTTTTGCTCAATATCTCGTTTGTAAGTACTTTTAAAATTGCTAAAAACGTTTTTGATGAAAATATTTTTAGAACCAATCTTTGGTTAAAGTACAAGTAAATTCTAAAAAAATACTTAAAATGCTTCCTAAAAAAAGAACATAACTAGTGTTTCTTGCAAAAAAAAACAGGCTTGACATCCTCAATAAGTTATGCTTTGTATGGTAAGGGAATAACATAAAGTCGTGGTGACATGAAACAAGCACGAAATACTGTGAACTTTTGATGTTTTGGTTTTGGACTTTGTTTGGGGCTAAAAAGATTTGAATATCTGGGGATGTCTACTTTCTTTTTGCCAGCTAGGGTTTTCTTTTCCGTCGGACTACATTGGTTGGCAACACTTACAAAATAGAATAAAAGGCTGGTTCCAGTGGGGACTTTATCAGGGCTAAACACAAAGTCATTGTTTTCTACCATGGAATGACCCTAGCTTCTCTTTGATGTTTTAGACACGTATATTCCTAATATTACAAGGAGAACACCTTATACAGAACAAACATAACGTATTCATTGCCACGTGGTATTCTAACCAAATCATGTGGTAAAAGACTCGCACATGACATGTACTATTAGACAATGAACGTCACATAACAGTCAGCCTATTTCATGTAAACCATTCTCAACAAGGTTTCTTTGGTTGGTTAATATTACCAAGTTTACAACTGTCATTTAAGACCAATGTTGTTTAGGCTCACTGTTTAAGTATTGGATAGTTTCTTGCAAAACTTTCTTGATACAATAATGAGCAGCTGCGAAACTATAATAAGTCAATTGGATCGATACATGTGCGCTCAAACATGTTTTCAGGGAGCCGAATTGTTTAGACAATTGGAGCTTCAAAGTATGCTTTATTTGGGAATCTTGTACTTTGTGATCTATACGATTTAAAATTATTACACTAAATTAGAAGAAAAAGAGTTTCAAGCTCGAAAAATATAAGTAGAAACCCACATTTTATCTACCAAGATATTAGATCACAAGAACATGCTTCGGGCTTCGAGCTTGCAATTATAAAAATAAGAAAAGACCACTTTTGTTTTTGACAGGAAGGAGATTGAATTACCAGCACATTTCTGTCCACTTCTATTTAACAAAATGATTTTGACGGAGTAGGGCATGCATATTCATGTTATCCTCACAAGGCCACAAGTTCTCCCTCAAGTTTGTATATCTCTGATCACTGATCTCGATCTCTCTCTCTCTCTCTCTCTCTCTCTCAGAGTACTCTCTCGTTTATATTATTTGATTCTGATATCTCTGTAATTCTTTATCAGTTCTAGATTCCTCTACATTTTTAATTAATTTCTTATTATATATTGGTTTATATAATATATATGTCGGCCTGCCAATTGCCTCTTTAACCAAAACCGATAAAGCTTTGAGGGTTTCATCAACTCTCTACATACAGTCGGATACAGTCACAGACAGCCTTTTACTGTAGTTTCCAAAAAATAAAAACAGCCTTTTACTGTAGTCAATTAAAAATGGAGAGCATGTATAAAGAAAGGAGTGTGCTATCTACACATTTCTTTTTTACTTTTAATACACCCCTTATTAATTTATGTTCGTTGGTCTTCTTTAATTCATTCGATCCGACGGCCGAAAACTAAAAAAGTGTGGGAGAAGTAAAAAGGGATGTGTGGATATCACATCCCTAAAGAAATAGTGTGGATTCTCGTTGTATTCTTTTTGTGAGGATTAGAGATCCTTTAATTACATATGCTTATCGTATATTGTGTGGTTATAAATCATTGTAAATTTTTTTTTATTTAAAATTGAATATAATTAGTACCTGACGAAAACTGACCACATAATCTATAATGAACGAATGTGATTGCAGAATCATCGGGATCCTCACAAAGAAGATCCGGAGAGAATCCTTATTCCCGGAATCCTCAAGATCTTATCTTATAAAGAAAAGAACTCGAAAATTTAAGATGCAGTGTAATGTACACACCACCTAAGCTTTCTAACTAATTTTGGAGTCTCTCGTTATATAGGACCAACTCCTTTTACCTTTCTACCAACTCTTTTTAACTTTCTTTTGTACAATAATTTTTCTGTTGAATTGTTATTTAATTATAATTTATTATGTATATATGTAATATTACAAGACAACATATGATATTAATGTGGTGGTGAGGGTAGTTATATACACAGATATATAATTCTTCACTAAAGCTACAATTTTTTTTTAATAATGAAAAACACTAAA